CCATGACGTTTGGCAATGATGAGCAGCCGGCGAGCGTGACTGCCCGGCGCGGCGGCGTTGCCATGACGTTTGGCAATGATGAGCAGCCGGCGAGCGTGACTGCTCGGCGCGGCGGTGTTGCCATGACGTTTGGCAATGATGAGCAGCCGGCGAGCGTGACTGCCCGGCGCGGCGGCGTTGCCATGACGTTTGGCAATGATGAGAAGCCGGCGAGCGTGACTGCTCGGAGAGGGGGCGCCAGAAATTTTGGAAATGGATCTTTTGGTAACAGAGGTGCGGTAATGGGAGGAGGGTTTAACGAGTGGGGTGATACGTATGGCCGAAGTAAGGAGGTTGAAGGTTTTGGCGGCGAGGTGGGGTTTCGTCGTTCTGTGTCCTGTAGTTCGCCAAAGGCGCAGCGACCCACCCTCTGTGAATCTCTTGGTTTTGTTCCGGGGGAGCCAGAGCCGGCACTCGTTAACGACGATGGAGGCGCCACCTTTTTGGGCGGCGTTGCCCGCCCCCAGATGCGGAACAGGAGTCCGGGGCCGTTCTTCCGAGATCCCGGCGTTGCACCTCATGATAATATTTCTGGCGGCACGCCGGCGGGCCGACGGCGTGCCCCGTCCCCGGGGCCCAGGTTTGGGGAGAGCAGCATAGCTGGTCTAGGCGCGAGGAGCGGCGGGAATTGGCAGTGCAATACTCGGAGACAGGGAGTTCCCCGCGAGGACTCTCCGGCGCCTGGTTTCACTGGGATGCCGCATTCACGGCCAACGACTGTGCTGGATCCCTTCGGGAAGCTCTCCAGCCGCCTCAGCCCCCGCCCGGCCCTCGACACGCCGTTTCAACCGAAGGCCAGAGAATCAAACTTTTGCCCGCCTCAGAACGATCGCTGGCAAAGCCATGATGTCAGCAACGATCTTCGCCCTACGGGTGTTCCTGAGCGTCGTGGTGATAGTTTCTGGCGCCCCTCGTCCTTTGTTGGGCCGCCGCGGCATGTCACATCCGACCCCCTTGCGTCTCCCATCTCAAGCATCTCGAACAGTGGCCAACTGATGCGCGAGGACGCCAATCCGCGTGCGAGAAGTGGGTTTGGAGGGCCTTTCGCCCCTGAGGCGTCGCACCATTTTTCACGGCGGCAGACAGTTGGTCGTGCGAACGCTGGTATGGGCGGTGGGCTGTATGGTGCGACAGGCGTCCATCGTCCCTCCAACCACGCTGGCGTCTTTGGGGTTCCTGTAAATCGCATGGGTGCTGGACCGAATCGTTCGTCCAATGGCATCTTTACGAGGATGGCTACCCTGTACGACGGCGGCACCTCCCGTGTGCCTGTCATTGATGAATACGAGTATCCAAGACAGGGAAGTCGTGTTCGTCCGCGGGGTGTGCAGGCTATGGACCTGGCCTGGTCAGAGCGGTGGGGATCGTCGCGATCCGCATACGGCGTTGCTGGGGGCCGTGGCACGTATCGCCCAGTCTCCTCTCGTGTAGCTTCAAGTACGACGCCTTGGCGCAACATGGCCACTACGCGCACTGGCACCATAAGGCGAGCGCCCCCTGCCAGTAAGCCACCGTTGGCCCCGAGCAGCCGTGCACCGTTTCGTTCCGCGGCAACCTCTACAGGCGTACGCAGTACTGTGACTCCTTCTGCCGTTCGTGGCCTCACACTGCGGGAACGGGTGCGGTTGCGGCAACAAGAGCAGCGCCGCGAAGCAAACTTAAAGGCACTTCACAATAACTTGCATGAAAACTACTGTATGGGAAATGATATGAAGCGATTTCGAAAGGATTCTGCGTGGTCGTTTCCCACAAGGACCGATGCGGATCTCGAGTCAGCCGGGAAGTTTAACGCCGTAGCCGACGCCACCACACGTGCGACGGGTGCCGCCGCCGACGCTGCACACAACATTGACGCCGCAAGGTTAGAGGCACAAGCCGACGCCAGCCTTAATGCATATGGGGAGCAAGTTCAACGTCTGGAGTCTCTTACGGATCCATTTCTTCAAGCCGATGGAGTGAATGTTTCTTTTTGTCTGCGCGATTTGGTCAACGCATTTCTATACTTGCCGGGAGGTGCACCGCAAGAACAAGACCTCACAAAAGCGGCGTGGCTAGACGATGGTGCTTCGTTTTTTGTGTCCGCCAAACCCGCGCGGTTCCGTGGGGGATGGGAAAGTTACCTACAACAGCTTAACCTTTACCAGCAGCCCTTATACCTGCGAGAGAGGGCCTTCATATTCGTGTTGCGGGTTCCGTATCAGCCAAACCTCCGCGTCTGCGTTGCGGTGCACAACATGGATGATTTTATTGCGTTGTTGCAACAGCGGCCATTGCAGCAGGTTTTGTTAACACGAGAGGAAAAATGGATGCAGGAACGCTTGTATGGAATGGAGTCTGGAGTTAGGGATCACCAGCCCCAACCGAGACCCGAGGGGGTGGGACGCTTTAAAAGTCTTCTTCAGCGCCTGCATGCCATTAAGAAAGACAGTCATGCGGATGAAACTCGTGACGCGGCGCGGCAAGGGGGTTGGGTGCCCATGACGTGGCGGCAACGCTGGGCTTTGCTGCGTCTTCACATGGAAGCGACGCTGCGTGGTTCTGCATGGAAGTCGTTTACGACACCCCTTTTAACAGACCCCGCCTTATTGCAGGCCCGCATGTCGTTTCTCTCGAACCGCACCGCCAGGTATGCCGCGTTGCGTCATCGGCTCAACACCCTGCAGGCCCTTGCTGCCACCCAGGTGACAAGGCAGAGGGATGGAGCCGCGCTGCGGGATCTGCGCCTGATACAGAGCCGGATTGATTCCACACCGTCGCTGCCGCTAGGGTGCAGCGGTGCGGTCCCCCAGAAGGAGGAACTACCGCCGTCTTCAAGGGAGACACGAACTTCTGCGACGGCGACGGTGACTAGGGGCGCAGCAACAGGTGCGACAAAGAAGCGTGAACCATTTCGCGTGAATCGTGTGGGGGATGGTTCGGCAACTGCGCTGCGTCGACCACGTCCAGCGCCCCCCGCGACGCAGCCAGCTGAAACGGCATCAGTAACGGCCACACGGCGGCTTGCAGAGATACAACTTGGGGCGGAGACGCCGTGCCGATCGACCTTGGCGCCCTACGCGTCCTCGGTAAGTTTGTCGCCGCCACCGGCGTCCAATTCAGTCCGGGAGGGGGCGGCGGGGCATGTGCCGTTCCGGGAGACGGGCAAGGATGAGCTAGTGCAGGTCGCCGAAGATGTGGCACGACGGACTGATTTCGCTAACGAAGTTTCGCCCCCTCCGATGACGACTGTCTTGACATTTATGTCCTCCTGGGATCAGCAGGAGCAACGAAGGCAGGTCTTTCATGGCTGTTCGAAGGAGTCGTCACTTTCAGGCACAAAGATGTCTAATCCCGTGTTTGCGGGATTACTTCCAACACCGACGGAAATTCACCGCCAAAGCGAGTGCTTCAACATCAGTGTCTCGCAACTGCAGCAACTGCTTCAGTGGCAGTGGGAGTACCATCAGAATTGTTACGAAGCATTTCCGCTTCCGATTTTTCGTGGCGCCCTTGTTACACCCACCGATGCGTATTTCGCTGTCACTGCAGAGGCAAAGAAGGGCGCGGAGGGAACTGGGATAAGCCCTCTATCCCGTTCCCTTTTACTCGCCCTGACGAAATGGGGCTGGCTGACTCCCATGGATTATAAGGCCTCGCGAAGTGACACCTGTCGCCATTTCTTCTCACAAGATCGTCTGACTTCGCTCGTTGCGCCGCAGGTGGGGAGACGGCGAGGCATGTTTTGTCTTTGGCTCTTCTTAATTTGGATGTGGCAAAACCAGGCGCTATGCATCGCCTTGCTGTACGTTGTGTACAAGTGTTTTCTGGCGGCCATGCGGGACGTCTTTGGTGGATGCGCTAGAAGACCTGCGGCGCTTGACTCCGCCACCTCCATTGTGTACGAGCAATCTGAGGCGGCTGTGGAAGCGATGCTGGAGAGGAGGCAGTTCTTCCGCACACAGTCACTTGCCACGCGCATACTGCGGGCGCAAAGTTGTGTTCAAAATTTGCTGAGCCGAGCGACGATGCTGTTGCGTGGGCATTCGCCTTTTCTCTCTTTTATTATTGGCTTGGAGGTGCTCGTGATGTGGGTTCTCCTTCTTGGCTACAACTACGCTGTTTCTCACCTTCTCCCCGGTATTTATCTTGCATCAGGGGGGATGGTTTGGCACCTCTCGCAGATGTTAGAGCCGTTTACCTTTCTGCGGGACTCCGACGCTTTTTGGTGGTGTGTCTCCCTATTTATACCGACTGGTTGCGATGGAAAGACGTTGGGTTTCCTGCTTCTGCTGTATTTCATTTTCTCCCTGCTGCCGTGGTCGCCGCTGCGGTGGATGTGTCGGAGGACGTGGGAACTCTTTTTGCACGACGACGCGTTGGTCCGCCGCCCCTTGCTCTCATTCTGAAAGAATTTTTAGTTTGGTGTTGGCTTTGCTGCTGGCGTGCTTCTGTTGGAGTTAAGTGGGGAAGATGAGTTGTGCTCATGCACATTAGACTAGAGAAGACAATTCACCTTGTAAAAATTGGGTTTTCTTTCCCTCGATATATACATATGACTTTGTTGTGGCTTTTTGTTTTCATGTTTGCCTTTTCCTCACGCTGCTGCTGTTCTTTCAGTTTTTGTCATGAGTCATGTGCTCTCTGTGCTTTTTTTTTTGCCTTCTTCTTCTTGTTCCCCCCCCCCGTTTTCTGTTCGACTTTTGACCACGCAAGCGCGAGCGGCGGGGTTTTTGGTTTGTTTTTGCGAGTGACGTGTCTCGCTGGCGTGACCCGCACGTGATGGAACTTCCCCCGCGCGAGGACCAGGAGGGCAACAGTGACCAGAATGCCTCCGACGTGAATAGTGAGTCGCCCAGCGTCATTGACGATGAGGAACTTCTTGCGCGTGAGAAAACTGAGGCGCTTCGGGCGCTGCATGACGCCGTCTGGACGGTCAGCTCTGCCAAACACGGCAATGGGGTGATGTGCTTGCTGGACGGCTCCCACAATACTTTTTGGCAGTCGGATGGGGTTCTACCCCACACGGTCTCCGTAGATTACGCACGGCTGACGCCGGTGGCCGCCGTCGCCCTTTACCTTGACTATGTGCAGGACGAAAGCTACACCCCGCGACGGATACGCGTGCAGGCAGGCACGCACGCCGGTGACATGGCGGATGTTGTCTCTGCCACCGCCGATGACCCGCAGGGCTGGGTTTTCCTGCGCATGGGCGTGGAGGTTGAACTACCGCCGCCATGGGAAATGGACATGGTGCTGGGTGCAGATGAAACGGGAGAAGCAACGGAGGGAACACCTTCATCGGCACCACTTGACTCGCAAATTGGTTTTGTAGAGAATGACGACTTCTCCGAATTTATGGGAGAGGGTGTGTGGTGCACGCACCTTCGCATCATCCTCGAGGAAAACCGTCAAAACGGTCGTGATTGCCATGTGCGTGGGGTGCGAATCCTTGGCCCGATGCGCCAAAGTGCGTTCACCACAGCATCTTTTTCGCAATACCTACTGCTACGCTGAGGTGGATTTTGTCTGAAGACGGATGCAGCGCCGAGTTTCTTCCTTTTTTTCTTTTTCATCACCCACAAAAAGCTGAGGGATGGTGGTGGTGGATGGGATTGACTTATACTGCGTGAATCTCTGCTCATTTGGGGGGTGGAGGAGTGCAATGACTGCTACACCGCGAGGCTCTCGCTCTTGACGCAAGTTAATGGTGTGCTGGGAGTGATCCTCTTTTTTATCTTGCCGTTTTTTTTTCCTTCTTTTTTTCCTTTCTACTTCCTTGGCCGCTTCGTTTTTCTCTCGCTTTCGCTGCCGCGTTGCGCCGGGCAGGAGACCTTTGACAACAGAGCCAGGGAACAGGTACAAGCGCGGGCGACGACACTTGTCTGCCGCTCCTTCTCCGTGTGGTTCGTTGCTGTCTCAGGGCTTTGCCTCCGCCGCCGCCCCCCCTTCCTCCCTCCCACCACCACCACCACAACCACCACGACGCCTTCGCCATGTCGACGCACGAGGAATACGAGGACGACTTCGAGCTGAGCACCGACGGCAGTCCTCCCGACCACAAAATAAGCCCGCCGCCCTCGTCGAAATCGCCCCAAGTGCCGCAGAGCAGTTTGGAAGGACTAAAGGCGGGGCTGCAGCCGAAGACCTCGCGGCAGGCCTCCTCCGGCCTGGACGGCAAGAGGCACGCCTCCAGCTCGGCGGCCTCCGGCGGTGGTCGGCCGCCGCAGTTGATTCGCCCGCCCGAGCCGCGAACGGCGCTGGCGACGCCGCCATCGACCAGCGATGGCTCCCACTTCCTGCACGTCTCGAAGCTGACTTCGGTGGTCCAGATGGAGCCGGAGAGGGGGGTCGCGCAACACTTCGGCTACCGCGCCGTGGACGACGAGACTGTAAATAGCCTGGCAGCCTCTGTCTCCAGTCTTCACGACCCGTACAGTGGGACGGCCGGCCCGGCGGAGGCGCGGCGGCACGTGATGGACCCCGCGGCATCGTCGGTAAAGTATGCGTCCGCGTCGTCGTCGTCGACGTCTAGTGCCTCCCCGGGGCGGCACGCGGCGCACCCCGCCGCCGCCGCAGCGTCAGAAGCGCAGGCAACAAAGCCGCCGTCCAACGCGGAGCGACGCATCAGCGGCAGCGAGGCAAATCGTGGGCAGGCGCGACGCGGCAGGAACCCGGGGTCGGTCTCCAGCGACAATGGTAAAAAAGCGCCTCGCTCAGTCGACGTCTGGAAAAGGCACGAAGTTACCCCTTTGAGAAAAACCTCAAAGACGAGTCACGCCGGTGAGGCTTCGCCAGCGAGGCGAAGGCAGAAACCGTCGCACCCCGTAAGAAACTCGTCCCATACTCGCGAGGAGACATCGCCAACGTCGGACCCAAAGGGAGTGTTGTGGCGGAGTATAGAAAGTGCGCATGACAAAAGCAACATTCACAGTGAAGAGGGGGAGTTCATTTCCGAGACAGAAGACGCCTCTCGCTCCTTACGTCGTGAACAGCTGCTGCAAACGCTTGCAAAAACCAAAGATGAACTCGCCAGTGTACGTCGCGCCAGACGGGCATTAGAAATGCCATCACGAGCTTCCCAGCGAAGCAGCCGAAAAGGAAAACCTCGATGGGCACGCATGGATTTGGATAGATTGGAGCGTGAAAATGAACATCTTCAGCGTATTTTAGACCTTAGAAGCGTCTGGGGAGGGAGTATTGACTTGCCGCTGCGAATTGCTGAAGAGGAGCTGAAGCATGTGCTTGATGAGCTTAACCGAGTGAAGCGACGCAGACGCGACCTTTGGACGGAGGACCGACGATCCTCTATTCTCTTTACGCAAATAGTGAAGGATCAACAACCCACCCGGGAGAAGGTTGCACGCCAGTACCGGGAAGGCATGTACAATCGTCTCACTCTGCAGATGAAGGTGGAGGGTCTGCAAGAAAAGATAGCAGCAACACAGGAAACATCCTGTCGCCTTGCCAAACAGGTTCGCCAGTTGGAGGAAAGCATGCAAGCGGAGGGGTTAACGCAAATGAAACCCGAGGAGTACATTGCAATGCAGCAGGATGTGGAAAAGAATGCTGTAAAAATTGATAGGCTTGTCACTTCCGTGACGACGATGTCGGGAAAGTCGGAGTATCAGAGCTTTTCAGGCACTCACGGGACAAACGAGGACACGTCCAATGTGAGATTCCCCGGACGCGGTCAAATGGAGACCTTGCTTCTGAAGCTCATTAGACAGGTGGAACAGAAGGAAGCACGAATAAAGTCGTTGCGTCAGAGCTTCGCTAGAACAGGGTCTACCGTGCCCAAGAGCAAGGGGAGCTTGGCCAAGTTTGCGGCGCGGAAGCAGTCCCTCACAGGAAGCAGAACAGGGTCCTCGATGTCGCGGTTGTCATCCAACAGCATTTTGCACAAAGATGGTCCACTTGCCCCACGCCGAACTGATGTTAAAGCCGCCGCCCACAGTGTTCCCCCCTCGAAGTCGGAAAGCGTACGCCTGCAACAAGAAAAGGAGAAAGTTGAACGGGTAAAGAGGACAATACCGCCCCCCGGCGCAGACGGAAGGCGCGTCATAGCGAGCAAATTGCCCGCGTCTTCTCTTGTGAAGCTAGATGGATCACTGTCTGAGCTTTCGGAAAACCATAAAGGCGGTTCTGCTCTTTTCCCTGTATGTGCGTCCCCCACCAACAGCAGCCGAGCGTCGGAATTCTCACCCAAAACGGTGGACAATAATGTTAAGAAGCATCCTGCCTTGAATGATGAAACAAAATCAAAGATGACTGCCTCACCACATTCTGGCAGTGAGCTGCACAGTTCACACAGCCCTTTCCAGGGCTCTCCAACCCAATTCTCCCCAAATTCACTTGGTAAGTCGGGTTCCTCCAGAGTCGTTGCCATTAGTGATGGCCGCCCATCCAACGAGGTTGGCAAGGAGGAGGTGGCGGACGCCGCGCAGGAGGCAAGGGAAGGTGCCGCGAAGACACCCATCTGGTTGGATGAATATTAAGAATGGAAAGGAGTGAGGCGTCTCTCTCTGGGAAAAAGTCCGAGAACAGATAAACCTGTGTAACACGCGGTTCTACCTGGGCCTGCGTGGGAAAAATGTATATATTTGTAGATGTACTCATATATTACTGATTAAGAAAGGGGAATGGGGCGAAGAAGGGAAAGAAAAGGAAAGAAAAAAGCAGTAAGATGTCCGTATTGGTGACTTCTGTTCAAGGTGTAGACCAGACATTCTGCTTCCATGATCTACTTGAGCTGCAAGTACGTGGTAGTTGTCTTTGGTCCTTTGTTTCACTCGTTCTTTCCTTTGCCTTTTTTCGATGAGGCCTTTTTTCTTTTCTTTTCTTTTTTTTTGTCTGTGTGCGTGTTTCTGTTACTGGGGTAGAGGGAGGGTGGGGGGGCGTAGCGGAGGCTGCTGGGTGGTTCCCGCAGATGGACTGAAAAAAAAACGGTAAGGGTGTTCCCTCAGTGAAGGAAGACGACACTCGATTGCTTTTGGTGGTAATGAGGCGTAAATTACGCGTGCAGGCAACGGCCTTCTGAAGAAGTGAATGCTAATATGTGTGTTGGAATTCAGTTAGAGAAAGAACGATTTGCGTGTGTGCGTGTGAGTGTACGGGGGAGGATCGTTTGTTTTTGTTTTTGTTTTTTGCCTTCTTTAGAGGTTATGCCGAACTTCTCATCCACTGAAAATGTGGGTTGTTTGTAACAAAGCTTACAATCGGACGGGACTGGGAGTTTCGACGCGGTGGAATGTGTAACACGCAAACTTGCCCTTTCTCCCCTTTTTTTTGTTGCCCCTCGCTCACCGTTCGGCGACTCCTTCATTTCACTCACCGACTCACGCGCTCATGCATTTGTACGTGTCATTTGTTATCAATGAGCATTCTCTCATGACTTTTTTTCTTATTATTTTAATTTTGCTGTGGGGTTAGGAATTGAAGGGTGGTGGCTATCGTGGCAGGAGGCGAGTTGCAGGGGAGGCGATAACGCAGAGGCGAAGAAGCGAGAGGCGCCGGTGTCTGTGTGGGTTTTAAATTCTTTCCCACCCCGATGTCGTCCTCCAGCGAGAAGAAACATGCGCCGTGGGTGAATGCCGTTGCCGGTGGTCTCGGTGGTACCGCCGCCAAGTCGTTGCTGTCCCCCTTTCAGCGTGTGGTGGTGATGCAGCAGCTGGGGGACCACAAGGAGCTTGGCACCTGGCAGCTTGTACGGTACATCAAGGAGCAGGACGGCTGGAAGGGTTTTTGGAAAGGGAACCTCACTTCTATGATCCTGCGCGTGCCCTACTCCGGCATACAATTCGTCTTGTATAGTCAGCTGAAGTTTTTCTTTCAAGACATCTGTGAGCGGTATGTGCGGCCACGGCAGGGCCACGCCGCTGGCGTCCATCACCGCATTGAGACCTTGGAATTGTTTATCATGAAGTGCGGCGCTGGCGGCATCTCTGCCACCGTCGCAGGGGTCGCGGTGTACCCCGGCGAGGTGGTCCGATTGCGCCTCATGTCCGGTGAACGAAAATTTAACGGTATATTTAACACGATACGGTGCATCTACGGCGAGACCAATTCGTTGCGCAATTTTTATCGTGGACTGGGCGCATCCCTCATTCAACGGGTGCCCGACCTCCTCATAAGCTTCGCAACCTACGAGACGATAAAGTACAGATTGATCGAGATGGAATTTCTCAGCTCACACCCCTCGTACAAGAACATAGTTGCCACTGTTGTTGGAGGCGGGGCAGCGGCCTTGGCGTCGATCCTCGTCGCGTTTCCACTTGATGTGGCCAAGCGACGCATTGGCATGTCAGGACAGGGGAAGAGCAAGGTGGTGTACGCGGGGGTGCGGGACTGCCTGCGTCGGGTGTATGCGCAGGAAGGAATCCGTGGCTGGTACGCGGGGGCGCGCGTTGAGGCGATACGTTGTGTGCCACAAGTGGTGCTTATGTGGTTCTTCATAGAGGGCTGTCAACAGTTCCTAACGGGCTATTGTGTTCACTAGCCGCACCCTGTACAGATCTAGGTTTCTTTGCTTGCCTTTTTTTTTAAGCAGTGTTTCGCCTTTTTCTTGAATACAACTACCGTTTTTATACGGTGAGCGGGCGTATCGAACAATGAAGAGAAGAATATATATTTTTTGTTGTTGTTGTTCTTGTTGTTGTTAAAGAAGCCATGTGATGTGTTCCTTGGGTGTATCTATGCATGCATACAGATAAACGCATGAATGCTGGTGAGGGCTTTGTATTACATGGGAGAGGTAGACTCTGTGTGTGGTGACCTCTCTGCAGCCCTTTGTGTTCTGACTTGTGTTCCGACTTGTGTTCCTTCATTTGCAGTAAATGAAGGTGAATCGAATTACAGATAACAATATACATACGTATACATATACATATATGTATACTTCTCTTAACATAAGCGGCGGGTAGTTGTGGGTGGAGGTGCGGAGGAAAATTGGACAGCTATGCACTCATTTGTCTCCACCCTATTTATCCAGTTAAACATATCGTTGGTTTTGTTTCCTTGTCTTTCGTTTATGCGTATATGCCCTCTTCCCGGAACCGAAAGATATGTGCGTGCGCGTGCAGATCTTTGGTGCGGCATGATAGACAACCGAATCAGGTTGCCTTTCTTCACATTTTATCGGAGAGCGTCACTCTGAACACGCATTACTATTGAGACTTATCTTGCGTAAACGTTGTTTCAGTGCACAGAGGTGTGCACGGCGCGCGTGCGTGCGTGCGTGCGTGTGTCTCTGCCTGTCTGCACGCTGGGTCCATCTCTCCCTTTCTTTCTCTCTATTGCCTCCCTCCTCACTGATGAGGAATCGGCCGCGGCGTTTGGGCCAGAGGCACAAAGCAGGCAATAATAACACCAGAGAAAAAGCGGCAGGCGCGGCAGCTCCAGGCTCAGGCGGGAAAAATACGCCAAGAGGACAGAGCGGCTGTTTGCGGGAGGTCGAGCAAACAAGGCCAAAAGGAAAAACCGAGAAGAAAAAAAAAAGCGGAACTCCGTCAACGAGGAAATATGGAGGCAGGTGCCCAGGCGCATTTGGAACAGCTCATCAGCTCCATGCAGACCGCCGGTCGCACGGAAACGGCGGATGTGTTGAGGCGGGCCAAGGACGAGTTTGCACGCTCGCTGTGGTGTGAGATGACGGACGACCTGCTGCTGGCCGTGCGTGACCCCATGGTGCTGGAGTCTGGCTATGAACTGCACGAAAAGGTCTTGAAGGTGACGCGAATGGACATGTCCCCCATGGCCTACGTCAAACTTTTGCACTACATCTGCTTCAGCCCAAATAGCACGCTCCCAAAGGCGTTGGAGCTCCTCGACGGCGCCATCGCCTCGCTTGCCGCAAGTTCGGAGCAGGGCGAGAATGTGGCCAATTGCATTCGGGCCCTCTTGCTGCTGGATAGGTACAACGATGACTCCTCTGCGCCCGCGGGGACGGCCGCCTCAGAGGCGCGCAGCATCCTTGACCGGGTGGAGAGTTTTATCCACTCCAAGCAGATGCATGAGGTGGAGCCTGTTTTAGCCGCACTGCATTGCCAGGCCCGCGGGAAGGACTACGAGATACGCCAGCAGTACACCAAGTATTACTCCAACGCCTTTGAAACCGTGAAGTGTGCGGAACGTGCGGAGATGCCGATCATTGAAAGTGACCTCTTGTCGCTTGCCTACAAAACTGCCCTGTCGGCGTTACTCTCGGAGGAAATTTATAACTTTGGTAAGTTCCTTAACGACCGCCGCTTCACGGAGCGACTCGCGGCCTCGGCGGAGCACGTGTGGATTCTCGAGTGGCTGCGTCTCTGTAACGATGGCAAGGTGAAGGAGTTTGAACAGTACGCCGCCGCGCACCAGGCGGAAATTGCGGCGAATTCGATCCTCTCCAACGCCTTTCCGTCCATCGCGAAGAAGGTGCGACTGATGGCTCTTCTTCACCTCGTCTTCTACACCCCATTTAACGAGCGCACCTTCACTTTTGATGTGGTTGCGCGGCGTTGCGCCGTTGACGAGGAACGGGTGGAGCCACTGCTCCTGGCGGCGCTAGCGCAGGGCATTATCATGGGGAAGATCGACGGCCTCACGCAGGAGGTGCACATCACGTGGGTGGAGCCACGCGTGTTGAGTCTACAGGAAGTGAAGGAGCTTGCCGTGCACGTTTCGCGCTGGAAGGAGAAAACATTGGGACTCATGCAGTGCATGACGGAGGTGGCGCAGGAGACGCCGAAATGAGAAAGAAGGAAAAAAAAAAAGAATGCGGGGGGAGGCGGCGAAGTAAAGGAAGCAGACAGAGTATCTGCAAACAGGCGCAAGGAGCGCGTGGAGCGAGGAAACGGGCACGGTTGACGCGCGCGGGCAGCAAGGGAGAGGTGGAGAGAGAGAGGAGAGAGCGAGCGACGGCGAAGAGAAAGAAAATAAAAAAAAAAGGCAAAACTCAGGTTCACGGGAGGAGAGGCTCTGGGTCCGCGTGTGAGGTCCTCCCCCTCCGACGCCGCGGAACGAGAGAAGAGGCAAAGGAAGAAAACGAGGCGACGGGGAGTTGGTGTGGGGGCCAAAAAGGACGAAAATGAAAGGACTCGTGTGACCTCGGGCAGCGCGAAGAAAGAAGAAGAAAAGAGTGTACCTTTAAAACAAAAACAAAAAGGAGGGATATATTGTTCTCCTTTTTCACCACTTTTTCTTTCGCCTCTGCCTCACTATCTGACAGTGTGCGTATGTTTTTCTCTTTCGCGGCATGTATCTCCATTGTTTCACCCCCTGCCTCTCTGTGTCTAGCTGTGCGCCCCGCGCTTGCGTGTATTATGTGCATCTGCCGTGTGAAGGAGGGGGCCTGTGCGGTGTCTCTCTGTACGCGAGAGGCGGAGGAGTTTGCGAAAGACACACACGACGAAACAACACCAACAACAACAGGAAGAAAAAAGAAAAAAAAGTGAGTCCGGACGCGACACGTATCCGTTTCCCCCTCCTTCACTGCCTTTATTACGGGTTCGTTGGCTCTCGGCAAACCACGGGCCTTGTTTTTTCCTCTTCTTTTCTATATCTGTCTTTTGCCGCGCTGGTGTCTGCTGTCACTTTGTTTCTTTGCTCGCACGACTGCAGCTTCCTCCTGGTCTCTCTTCTCTCGCATGTGCGACTCTGTGTGTCTGGCTTCCTGCAGCAGTTTTGCGAGTAGGCGACGAACAAGCCATCAGCTCGTGTGAGGGACTTCCTCCACCCCACTTGCATCATTGAAGTAAGCGCACACACGCGCACGACTGTAGGCAGGGTCTATACATACACGCACGCTTCCCGCCTTATTAACCGTTGTGGCAGTGCCTTTACGCGTCTTCACATACACTTCTATGGCGGCAGCGGGGGGCGTTCAACTGCCGCACTTCCACGGAGGTAGCACCTCCGCCGTGAATGGGGCCAAAAGGAGTGTACAGGCAACTTTCTCCCCAAACGAGGGAACACACACGTCGACGCTGCAGCTCTCAGCGAGTGATGAGCCACATGCGTTTCCGAATGCAGTGGATGTCTTGAATTGCAGAGAGGAGGTCTTAGTGGGTATGCTAACTGCGCTCAGGGAAGCCACGGCGCGCTCGCGAGAGCCAGTAATGAAAAAGAAGAAGCAGATGAAGGGTTACACCAAGCGACAAATGGAAGTCGTGCAGGAGGAACTCCTTTTCCACCGAAGTACTCTGATGAGAGCCAGTGCCATGTTGAAAGAATCTGTAGAAGCGGTGAATGCCCGTCTTAGCACATTACACGCTGAAGAAGCGCTGCTGAACGAGTACTACCAAACGCTGGATGATGAAATTGAGCTCGGGGAGAGGTATGATCTACCCAAGGAAGGCAGTTATCATCGCCAACAGCGTGAGTTGAGGCGTGCCGTCCCGCGTCAGAGGTACAAAGAGGGGCGAGTCTTCTTGGAGGCCCGCCGTGCGAAGCTGGCGGCGCTCCTGCATGAACTGGAGGTAGAAGAACGTGCGATATTCCCTAGCAGCGCCGACAACGATGCCGCTGCGGCGGAGGCGGCGGCGCTTGGCCGCGAGTACAGCATAGTTGACTCGAAGGGACAGAAGTTAGACGATGTGTATGATTCCACCGCTGCTACTGCTGGAGGCGGCCATAACTTGGAGTTACGCTTGCGTGTGCAACCACTGCTGGAGAAAGTGCGGGAGCTGAGAATAGTGCCGAAGCTTTCTCCGCGCAGTGTCAAGTCACGGTTACGGAAGGAGCTACTACTCCCCTTCTCGGCGCGTGTCCTCGCCCTGAAAATTGACGAGGGAAACAACCCGGGAGAAAGGTTTGTAGAGTGGTACGTCAACACTGTCATTGACCCCTTGGCAATGGCACAACTTGTCGAGCTTGTACCGCGTGAGTATCTTGTAACGACGACCGTGCGACTTGTAAACGTGTGTGATACATATTTGCACCTACGTCAGACGCAAGCTCTTCCAGACGTCTTGCATGTTTTACTGCAAGCTATTGCGGAGGGACGCTCGGATGCCCTTGCGACCCTTGTGCTCTCCCCCTCAGACTCCTACTTGCATGCGTTGGAAAACAAGGACTATGTGGGCATCATCTTTTATGCGGCATTGGTCGCTGGACAGATGGAAGTGCTGCGGCATCTTATTTCAGTTGGCTTCTACAACGTCAATGCCCTCGTCGCGTGGCTTTTCTTGAATCCCAACAAAGAGGATCCCGCCTACATTGCGTATATGACCGAAGTAAGGTCCAGCGTGAAACAGCACGTGCAGAGCGAGGTCTGTCAGCAGCAGGATGCCATCAGCGCCGAAACGTTGCGCAGTGAGTGGGATGTGGATATCGTGGCTTCTGAGTTGGTCCTGAGTTCGGTGCAGAGTGATTCAAGGCCCCCGTCAGTGAACAGTGGGTTGTGCGAGACCCTGCGGCGCTTCCTGCAGGAGCGACGGAAGTGGAAGTCCCATACGGCCGCACAGGCCGGTAAGGCCACCGCTTCCACCAAAGTGAGATCGAGCGGGGAAGTCTCTTGTGAGCCATCCTCTCTGCTGGTGCCGCAATTGCCAATAGTGAGAGTTGGGCAGAACACGACGCAACCGAGTTCTGCTGCTGAGGTGCCCTTCTCACTCATTCTTGGGAAGCGACGTTTGGACCGCCTCCAACTTTCGCCCGTAAAGTGTGCCGTGTTGCCAGCCGTTAGCAGCTCATTTATGCGGCGGGTGGACCGCTGGGGCTACACACCGCTGAAAGCCACCGCCTCCCATTTCCTGCTTGTGGGCGATACATCCACTGCAAGTGCACACGTTGTACAACTCCCACCTCGGTACGCAGAATTATGGCCTGACGATGATCCGACAGAAACACCGCACGCGAGATGGCAACGAGAAAAGCGGCAGGCGTCGGCAAAGGCGAAGGGCCCGAGTTTCTACTATGAGGTACATGTCTCACTGAATTTTCTACTCAGCGGTGTCCCTCTGAGCACGACTGCATTTAACAGCCTTCCAGCTTCTGAAGACAAGCCTGGGCTGCAAACTTCCACGGTTTTTGTTGGTTGGTGCTCGGAGGAGTGTGTGCCTGCGGCCGATGGACGTTCCACACATTCTCCACTAGGCAGTGACCGCAACTCCATAGGAATTTCGTTTGACGTCTTGCACAGATCTACGGTCAATGAATCCGTGGAGGAGGTCATCTTACGACCTATGAAGCATGAGAGGGGCAGAACCTCTGTGTATCCCGTCCGAGATGAAGACGTCCTACAAGATGGTAAGGCGGTGGGAGATCTGGAGACGAGTTTGGAGGAGCCAGTTTTTCCCTTGTTGCGAATTCAGCTCGAAACAACTCAGGAGAAGGGCAACAATCTGGGATTTTCATGCTTCTCCACGAGGGCCTTCTCCTCGCCCATTTACGGAACCGCAAGCTCCATAGGCGACGCCTCGGCCTCGGAGAATTCGTGCGCGGCGACGGCGGCGTATGCGTTGAAGGAAACAATTGTACCCAACGTTGAATTTGTGCGCCAGGGGGGGAATGCCTCCGAGGCAGACGCTGGGGAAGGAAGCAGGATGTTTTGGACCTCCGCCTTTGCGGGTAATTCGGTCGTCCAGAGAGGGGTATCGGTGTACAACTACCAGTCCCTGGTGGTTGGCTGCCACGTGAATTTTGGCGATCGTACTGCGTCTTTTAGCGTCAACGGAAGGCCGCTTGGGGCCGCCTTTACGACGCTGCCGTCACCGGTGGGTCTTCGGCCAGCTGTGAGCCTTCAGGCATCACAGCAAATCACGGAGACGCTTCAGCGCGTGCGGCCTTCCGACGCGGTGATTGTTCGCTTTGTCTTTGAGGAAACACATTTGCTGACCACGCAAAACGTTGTCACGACGCCCAGCTGCTTTCCCGGAGCGCGGTCCCCTGTTGAGGCTCGGCAAGGAACACCAGTACGATGCGAGGAAAAGGAACAGGTCTGCGGAGAGATTCCGGGAGTCATAACGTCGTGCCGCCCATTGCTGTTTGACGAGAGTATGATGCAGTGTGCGCTGCTAGGGCTTATCACTTGCGGCGAAGGCATGCTGCCCACCGGCGAGGATGCCGACGACCTTATTCAGGCTGCCAGAGAGACTCTTTCACTGGGGCACAGCGTGCGCATCACGGCGGCGAGTGTCCGTCAGTTGTTAAGCGCACAGTCTACCGCGGAGGATTTGTTGTTTTTTCCGCCAGTGGTTGTAAAGCGTCGCAGCGACGATACGGAAAAGGGAGGAAACGGAGTGGCGATCATTCCAGAGGATGTTCCGCTGGTGCCGCTATGCGTCGCACTGGCGCAGCGTCAACGCGTGCCAGCCTATCGTATTGCCGTGCACCCCTTTACTGACTTCCTTGGTCAAGACGATGTGAGTAGGCGGCAGAGACGCATGGCGTTGCTCGCCTCCGCAACACTGGGCTACATGGAGGTCTTGTACGTGCTCCTTGAGCGCATGTGCATTGCAGAGACGCTCAGCTTGTTTACGCTCAGCCTCGCAAAGACTGACTCCGACTACTATCTAACAGGAAAGCAAATGAGAATTTTTACATCTGGAAACTGTCGCCAATGCACTTCCGCCGCCATGCTACATCGCGTTGAGTATACGCCACTGCACTGCGCCCTCCTTGAAGAACACTACGAGTGCGTGCATCTGTTACTCTACTACTTGAATCGGTTACTGCCGGTGGAGCAGAAGCGACACGCAGTGAACGTCCTGACACGTAGTGGGGAAACGGCACTTCTCATGGCCTGCCGCCTCGGCTACACCAAAATTGCAAAGCGTCTTCTCGCTATGGGGGCCGCACCGTCGAGCTTTGACCGTGTGACACGAACAAATTGCCTGGAGCTTGCCTGCGCCAGTCGTAGTGAGGAGATTGCCATGGCCCTCCTACAAACACCGCACTACTGCTCACAGGTGGCGGTAAACCTCTCGGGGGTGGCGACGCCGATTTGCTGGTGTGCGCTGAACAACATCGCCTCTCTCATCCCCCCGCTGCTAAAACATGGTGCGAGCCTCGACGTGACGTTGGACGGTCTCACACCGCTTCTTTTGTCTGTCACGTTTGGGAGTGAGGAGGCCGCGCTGCAGCTGCTTAGCTGCACTAAGGTGGTACCCAACGTCTCCACCTACTTGGCCCAGTCGGCCCGTTCTGCTTCGCACTGCTCGTCTAACGACGAGGTCAACGAGGAGGAATCAATCAAAGACGCCGAGGTTTGCCGTGCCGCCGTGATGGACATCAATGCCTTGGACCCACTCACGCAATCCACTGCGCTGCATTTGGCGTGCGAGCTTGGGCAGCTGGAGGTGGTGCGCGGGCTCATTGCAAAGGGAGCCTCATTGAACCTGCAGAACAAGTCAAGATTTGCCACTCCACTACACCTCGCCATTATCAACGGCCATGAGGGTCTGGCGCTTGAGATATTGGAGTACGCAAAGGACAAGCTCAGGCGTGGCCAAAACGTGCTCGACATTGCGGCTCTTGAGAAGAACGCCGACACGGCTTTGCATCTCGCCGCCCGAGAGGGCATGCTACAAGTGATCGAGTACATCATGTTTCAGTTTAGCGACGAGGAGATTACACGACTCTCCGGCACGCGCAGCTTTGCGAAACGGCCCACCGTCGTGAATGTTGTGGCCACAAACCGTCAGGGCATGACGCCGCTGCTTGTTGCAATCCACGCCCACCAGGAGGCGGCGGCGCAACTTATTGCCTCACTCATGCCAGACTCGCTGCCCAACCCGGGCGGGCCCGTGATTGACGGCACCTGCACGGCGGTTTTGGCGAGTGACGCGGAGGGGCTTGACAACGTCACACTTTTCTTTCTTTCACAGCAGCGCTATGCCGCAAAGGAGGCCTTCCGGGCGGAATTCTTCGCCCGCTACAATGCGAAGCGGCGGCAGATGGACCTCCGCGAGGACGGGGCCCCTCTCGAGTATGAGGAAAAAACGGCCGTGCTCTTTGGAGAGGGAGAGAAGAGGCGAAAAAGGGACAGAGCACGCAACCTCCGTGACACTAACCTCAGGCAGGCACAGGCTCGGCAAAGAACGAACGTCTCCGCCGCACTCCTCTCGCGGACGAGTCTCTCGCTGGAGACCTACGCGGAGAAGTTGGGCGGTCTCACCGGCACGCACGGCGCGATGCTGTCCCGCCGTCACACCGCACGAGGCGCACGGGTGTCGCGGACAGGGAGGCAGCGTCGGCGAAGCACGTTTGTGCGCATGTTGCTGGCGAAGGGAGGAATTGGCCTCACTGCACGGACGCTTATTCAAATATTAGAACAGGGCTTTCCTCTGGAGGAGATATACGTCATGGTTGACACCATCTCCACCGAGACGACGCGCTCGACGCAGAGCGTGAGTGCGATGCAGCACGTGGAAACACTCATCTTGTTTTTTCGCGAGTACGGTGGGGTGCGCATTGCCACATGGGATGCAGTTGTAGTAGCGCGACAACTTCTTGCGGCTCCGGCCCTGGCGGGAATTATGAATGCGGATCAGTTGGATAATGCTAAGAAACGGATGACGGAGATGCGGCCGCTGTGCAGAGAGTTGCTTTCCCTCATCCGTTCCCATGGCCAACGCCTAGAGTGTGTGGAGGACATGCGGCATATGGTGGAGCAGCGCGGCGGCGTTGGCCCCTCGCTTGTGGAGGAAATGACAACCCCCTTTGGATTCACCGTGCTTCAGCTCGCCGCCACCCTAGGTTTGCCGCACGTGTGTGAATTTCTCCTGGGTGAGTGTGAACTGAGTCCCTTGTATGTGCCGTCAACAAGCAGCATCCCCTGTAGCGACAGCAAGTGGTGTCTCTCGCCGTTTCGTCTTGCATTGCGTTCCGTCAATGTAGAGACCATTTCGGTGTTTCTTTTGCACGAACTGCAATCGGGTGATGTACAGGCAATGCTGGAGCACAAGGAGCTTGCAAAGGCAGACAAGCTGCAACAAACAGCGCTTCAGGAACTCGTTCGACAGCCACTCGATGGGCTTTCCACTACGGCCACCATGGACACACTGCACGTGATGCGTCTGCTCCTTTACAACGGGGCCGTGGTGCAAGGCAACTTTGACAATGAGGGAAACGATGCGTGGATGCTTGCCGTGTGTGCGGCTCCTGGCAAAGGCACCAAACTTGAGGTCTTTTTTGAGGAAAATGTACAGCTTGGCGGGGACGAAGAGAAAGAGGAAAGTGAGGCGGATGATGTGAAGACGTCTACGCGCAAATCCTCATCCACCGGGGAGACTGAGCCAATGCACCGAAACGAAAGCAGCCGAAGTGGGTGGACGGTGACGTCGCTTGATACCGATGAGAAACGAAGGCAGTCGCTACGAATGCCGCTCATAGGCTCTGTGGTTGCGCCGCAGTGGACGAATTCCCTTGTGGTGCTTCAAACCGTTGACAACTCCACCCCGCTGAGTCTAAAGAAACGGATATACTACGCTCAACTGATCTTTTCCTGTGCGGAGCATAACCCGCAGAGTCTCAGTACACTGCTGGAACGGTATCCGCATGTCCTTTCTCCCTCCGTTGTTAACCCTCTGACGGGTGACACCTTGCTGCTCTTTTTGTTGCGCCGGGCCGCCAACATCTACTCGGTGGAGTGCGGGATCTATGCGCCTCCTCAGAACAATACAGACCGTGAGGATGCTTTACTAACAGCGCGCTGCATGCCGCTAGAGGCGGAGATGACCCGCATCTCCGATGGCGATCCCGTACCGTACCGTGATCCATGCACCATTCCCGCTGTGCGCTCGTTGCTGCTAGTCGTGGAGCAGTTGCTGCGAAAATTCTCCTTTGACAATCTGTACTATGAGCACAGTGACGGGGAAACCGCCTTGGCGCTGGCCGCACGATTAAGCTACACCCCGATTGTCTCACTTATAGTGCAGCGGCCTGTCGCCTTGGCTGCGGGTGGGGAAACCAGAAAGGAGGAGACCAAGGAGGCGGAAACGGCGTGCGCTGCCCCCGCCGGCCTCTCCGATATGGACTCCGCGAGTACTGTGATCCACGACGACCTCGTGCGAAATTTGGAGTCTTCCTCCTGTTGGGTGATGCTCGCCACCCGTCTCTACTACGCGGAGGAGGAAATGGACATGCTGATGACCATTCTCAGACACCTCCGGTCGACCTCCACAAAGTTTTCATTTTTGTCGATGGCCTACTCCAACCTACACCCCATCGTGGCGCTACGCATTGCGGAGAAATACGCAACTGACGTGAAGAGTATCCTCATGCATCCGGAAGCCGTCAATGCCTTCTGGTCCAACGTTCTCTATGCCCAGTTTGTGGGCCGACTTGAGGAGGTGCCTGTGACGCCGGCAGGGTGGAGTTCCATTCTGAGTGTGCTGCTGCCTGCTGCCTCGGCTATCCCAATATATTTAATCAAAACAACACCTTCACTGCCATCCAGTTCACCCGCCGATTCGACGCCGTCAAAGCTGCTGTCCCCGGTTGCTTCCACGCCGGCTGCATCCGGCTCTCCGGTGAAGAGGGAAAAGGCAGGGAATCGTGCCGCCCCCAACTGGGGTTTCATCGTCAAAAAAACAAGACAGTACATTCGTCAGCTTGCGGCGGCGGCGGTGTGTGTGGCGTCACCGCCGTCTGCCATTGCATCTCTGCACGGTGGTGGGGTCATTCCAAGCTCGCAGCGCCAGGTGCTTACGGTCATGTCTAACCATTTTCATGAGTTAATTGAGTTGTCCGTGCGTTTTGATAACTCTGCGATGCTGCTGGACCTCATGAACCTGGTTCCCGCAGAGCTGCAGGCCTGCGTCAAGAATGAGTGGCGTGATCTCATGGAGAAGTATCACATTGACGTGGTCGCTATCGCCGCAGGCAGCATGACCATCATGAAGACGCTTGCTCGTCTCCCTGAAACGGCCGCACTGCTAAGCAGCGAGCGATACGAACGCATTGATCCCGCCACTGGCCTCTCCGAGGAGGTGGTGGCGGCGCGGGAGGCGATGCCCGACGCACCGTCGGCGCCCACAAAACCCGCCCCTCTGGCTGGAAGCACGATGATGTTGCGTGGCGAGCGCGCCGGCAGTGTCTCTGGGGTTCTCTCATCACGGAAGTCGTTTGTTCGAACCTCCCCCGCCAACGAAAACAAATGGACCCCAAAAAAGCCTAGGGAGAACAAGCAGGCGGTGGTGAATATCCTCGCACTGGATGCGACGACGCTAGACACGAACGTGGAGGGGGAAAAGAGCGAGGCTGAGAAGCCCGAAGCCAACTTGCAGTACATGGAGGTGATGACGGCAGCGCGCGAAAGAACGACGGCTTCGGCGGTTACCTGGGGCATTGGTGCTGCCGCACGACCCATCGCATTGCAAGAAGGACTCAAGGCAAATGCTCATGCGGCGCCTCAACTACAACCCGCCTCTTCCTTCTCGGCGCAAAGGAAAACGAGTACCGCGGCACCTAGCGATAGCTCTCGCAACCGCTTTCTTACAAATATGGGCGCCGAGGAGAGGCTCTCCGTGACGTCCGTGCAACGTAAGTCACCGAGGCAATCCTTGACGCCGGAGGGGGGAACCGTCACAGGCTCCTCGCGCCAAGCGCCGCTGCCAATGGAATGGATGCCCTCGCCTCCAACACCGCAGTACTTTCCGTATTATTTGTGCGACTGGGCGCTTCACACGACCCTTGTCCTACACGCCCCACGACCGTCGCGTCGAACGGTTGATACCCTGCTTTACCTTATGGATCAACGTGCCCCCCTCACGGCTTCGGCAGTGCAACTATTCTTGGCGGCCTCACGACCTCTGAACTGCTGGGAATCCAGTGACGGCCAACTGATCACGCTGAACTACGCCACACGCACACACCAAGACACATTGTTGCACATTTTGGTTCAGAATGATCAACTTCGACTTGCACGGTACTTTCTGGCGACCGCCTTGTGCTACTTTACCTACTACCAATATGACCCACCAAGTACGATGCCGCCCCACTTTGCATTGATGGATATGCCCAAACCGCAGAAGCCTTTTAAACCCCCAGAGCTCCACGGAGAGAGTGCAACGGAGGAGCCGGAAACGTTGGAAGAGGAGGGTGGGTATCCCGCCGTTTTCCTGCGCAGCATGCTGCGGATAAATAAACACGGCCTCACACCATTTGACTACGCCCGCGGGCCAATGGTGTCACTACTCATGGAGTACGGCTGCATCCCGCCGACGTACCGCCCGTATCCGCGTGGATTTTGCCGCGCAATTCGATTGCCCCTCGCTCCCTCAGCCTTCCACCCAGTGCCGCAGCTGCTGCTGGTGTCTGCGAACTTCATTGAGCTGCACGACGAGGGAAAGCCAAAGCCGCGCAACCATACGGCGGAACTTTTGGCCAGGGACACCGCCGATGCCGTTTTGGTGCGAAATCAGACCATTAGCCAACACGCGACAAAAGTAAATTTTTTACCATCAGTTCTTTCAGGTAACGTGAGTCTGCTGCATCTGGGGTTATGCTCCGCCGATGACGAACTTGTGCTGCAGTACATCAAAGAAAAGCGTCAGCAACAACTGCGAAGTCTCGTGTTGTCGCAAGTGTCGCGGAACACACCTACGCCGCTCACGATGACGCAGCTCTCGAGTGCCACGTTTGCTGGGGCCCATCAACGGGGCAAGTCGACACCCTCGACGGCCCCTAGAGCGAAGGGTTTGTCCTCAGCCCGCTCCGCCGCACAGCGTGGCAGGGCTGAGAAGGAGTTGCCAAGCGCCTTGAAGCTTATGGATGTTCTTCGTGAACGCGGCTTTGTGCTCTTCCCGCTTGTTCTTCCCCTGGACCTGGAGGCAAGTCAACCAACGCGCGAGGACGACTCCAATGAGAGCACCGCAATTCTGCTTACCATGACCCCCATGGCACTGGCAACTTGTGCGGGTGTCGTGAAGCGAGATGAAGTTTCTCAGGGGAATAAGCGGCCGAAGAAATCCACGGGTACACCTCGACCAAACTCTAGGGCTGAGGCTTCCTTCATTCCGCCACGTTTTACACTAACAGCGGGAAAGAACCGTCATCCCGCCGATGCCCTCGATGCCTGGGTGGCCTCCCGCCGTTCATCGAAGTCAGCTGCAGCTGGAAAGGACCCGCACATGCATCTGCTTGTCAGGTCTATCGGCGGTGGTCTCGCCGGGCGTACGATTCAGCTTCTCGGCCTCTGTACGGCCCCTTCTTACGAGTCCCACAAGTAGCACATTGCTTGGGCGCCACAGGGAAACCCTCCTTGGATGTAGTATTCGCAGCTTCCTGGTTTTTCTTTCATTTTGTTGTGCACCTTTATTCCTTCTTTTTTATGTTGCTAGCATAAGAATATGAGGAGAAATCATGAAAAGGGAGGGGGAAAAAAAATGTAAAGTGTATATTGAGTTTATTCCAATGCACCTTTCTTGCTTTATGTTATGTTGTATGCCTGCGCAGGTTACGCAGGTCCGTGGCAGCACCCAGGTAGCTGTTACACTTATTGTTGTCGTTTTTTTTTTGACCACCCGGGGGTTGGTCAGTCACCATTCCGATGGGTGCTGTGTGTAGATGCACTAACTCTGTCCTTTTTTTCCTGTTTCCACTCTTCACTTTCTTCTGCATGAAGTGGGAAACGGCAGTGTCACATGTGAGGCAAGGGCGTTTTCGTGTTTTCTATGGTGTCCGTCTCGCATGAGACGTTCATTTTCGGCCGGGAGGCGGGCGACTGAGAGCGGAGAATGTCGTCCGAAAGGGAGGGTGGGTGGGTGTGTGGGTAACGCACACTACTCCCTTGTCCATCATCTACCGCAGTTTTAACTACACGACGGTGTCAGAAGATGTTCCCGCAAAGGCGTCCCGCTAAAACGAGGACAGGGCCAGGGCGTTTTGTACATCCGCGTCCGCTCAGGGCTCTGCGCGAGGACGTCACTGCAAAAAGTTTGCCGAATAAGAGCTCTGAGTAATGTGCCGAGCTTCACATGGATCACATCTTTTTTCTTCTTCTTCTTTTGCTGAGAATGATGCGGAAAGAAAGAGGAAGGAAATGCATCTCTGCGTGGGCGCGCAGTGGAGGACGGCCCACGCACCCGGTGTTGAGGTGAAACCAGACTCAATGTAGATGTGTGTGCGCTTTGTACTGCTTGTGGCTGCTGCTGCGTCGTGGTGGTTGGTGATTTTTCCCCCTTGCGTTGTTTCTCTCCCACTCTGTCTTCCTGCTTGCGTGCACACGAGGGGTAGCACGGAATAGGTGATGTCCGAGGAGGCGGCCGGTAAAGGTGAGGCGGGCGAGGCGACGACAACGGCAACGGCGGCGCCGCACCACACCAACACGGTGGATCATAACAACGCCGTTATTCGGAAGCGGCCACGTGTGGCGTGCCTGCGACAGAGCTTTTCCCGACAACTTTACCAAATGATTATCCGGCAGCTGCACCATGATGGATACCTGGGGGCGGCCGCGGCGGTGGCCGATGCGACGGGGGTTGTGGTTCCACGGTTAGAGCAGAACGGCCAACGGCTGTCAAAGCTTGTCTCGATGGGTTTGGCGCACGAGGCAAGCAACGTGACCGAGATGGAGAACTTTCTCTCCTATGAGGTGGTGGAGCGCTACCTTGGCGCCTCCAAGTTGTACGTGCCGCTGCACCTCACGGAGAGTTCAACGGTGGGTCAAATGGCGTACCGAATGCGGGAACGCTTTACGACCTCGTCACTCGGCGGGGTCGTGCGTCGCGTCAGCATGTCACCGGACGGTTCGCTGGTAGCCTGTGGTGGAACCAACGGCCTGTGTGTTGTGTTCTCGCTCAAGACGATGGAAGACCTTATGGCTTTGGAGGAGGTGCGGCAGGAAAACCAGTTCCGTGGCTTGGACGGCAGCGGCAGCGGCGGCGGCGGCAGTGGGAGTGGAAGTGGTGGGAATGTGGGGGTGCGTAACGCAAGCAACAAAATCACTGAACTGGCCGAGGCGCGACGCTTTCACGAGCACACGCAGTCAGTTGAGGCCATGCACTTTCATCCGTCACGACCGCTCTTGTTGACAGGTGGGCGCGAGGGGGATTTGTACCTGCGGGACTACAGTCAACCGAACAATAAGGTGCTACATAAGCTGCATGACACCTTTCCCATCCGATCGGCCGTTTTTCATCCCTCGGGTGAATATATACTTTACGCCACAGACCACACCGCCCCGAGACTGTTGAATTTGCGCACATGGAAATTAATGACACCCACCACAGCCACCAACAAGGAGGGCAGCGCGTCAGCCAGCAACCCCGCCACTGGCAGGAGTGGGATGCCCAATAGGGGAGGCTTCTACAGAAGGGGGACCGACGACAGCCACGCAGCTGCCCTCTGTGACGTGGACTTTTCTGCAGATGGACGCCTGTTTGCCTCCTGTGGCCTTGATGGTTCTCTTATTGTGTACGACGGCGTCAGCAGTCGCCCGGTGGCCAAGGTAAACAATGCCCACTCGAGTGTACCCGTGACAAGCGTGAAGTTCAGTCGTACGGGTAATTTTATTCTTTCGGCAGGAATGGACTCTGTCGCTAGACTCTGGGATTTGCGCCGTTCCGATGGTGGCTGTGGCACAGTGGAGGTGATGTCGTTTGGCGAGCCTGGAAAGTGTAACCACCGCAGCATCCATGCCGCTTTTAGCTGCAACGAGAGCCACGTGCTTCTTCAGGACACATCCCTTTTTGCGATCCACTCCTACTGTGTTTACTCTAGCGATAAATCCTACTCCTTGGTGGTACCAAATCACATGCAGCGGGGGTTTGCGGCGGCACCGTTTTGCAACACCGTGGTGAGCGGTGGCGATGATTGTCGTGTCCGCCTGTGGACACCCGCGTGGGCGGCCGCGTGAGGCCTCCCGTCGTTTTTCATTTCTCTCTGTGTGTGTGTGTGTGTGTGCCCCTGAGGAGGCGGGGCGTTTTGTGCGGAATGACGGTGATGAATGAGGCCAGCTGACGTGTTCAGTGGGAAGTAACGGAGGAAACTAAAAAAAAAAAACAGGAAACCGAAGAAGAAAAAGAAAAAGAGAAAAGATCGATGGAGAGCAGTGCGGGCGGCGCTGCCGAGGAGGGGCGGGGCGGTACGGCGGGGGCGAGCCCCGTCTCCGCGGAGGCAGAAGCAGGGCAGCGGACAAAAAACGCGCGGCCCAAGACGACTGCGCGGGTCTGCCGCTCTGAAGCCGTGAAGCAGCCAGCGAAAACATGACGGGCGACACCGCCGTGCGCATCGAACATCAAACACCACTCCCTCCCCCCACGCCTTGCTTCTTTTCTTCCTGCTGGCGGCAGCATCCCACTGCCCTTTTGCCTTCCGCCGCCCTTCTCTCCGCCGCACACCACACTGGGGGGATTGTAGGAAAAGGGGAGACCGAAGGAGGCGGCACAGGATAGAACGCAATCACCAAGCGGGGACACGCAAGGACACGCCGCAAGCACAAAGGCACACACACACACACAGACAGAAGACAAGACAGAAGTAGAAAAAAAAAAGAACTAAACTTTTGGGCGGTGCAACCCCGAACTCCGCTTTTTTTTCTGATTTTATCTTTTTTTGTTTTTATTGTGTTTTTGATTTTACTTCCTTCGACGCGTGCCGTGTGGTAACGGAGGGCCTTTGGTGGTCGTAGTTGTTGTTTCTTTTTTTCTTCTGCTCGAGCCATCCCTCCACACGCGCTGACAATGGCGGGCCTCACGTCGGACAATATCTCCATCGCCTCGGCACGCCAATATGGCTTCTCAAAGGAGCGCGACACGTGCGTGTTTTGCGGGAAGCGGTCCAGGCCGCCGCCCACGGACCCGCTTGCCCCCGTCTTTGTCTTCTTCTCCCTCGTCGACTGCCGCCACTACGTGTGCCAGCCGTGCGCCCTCGTTAACTGCGACAACGCCGGCCGCTTCATTCGCTGCCCAACGTGTCACTCCGTCTCACGCCTGGCACAGACAGGAAAGAAACGCACGGGCCACGACGAGTCGCGGGTGAGCATCGACGACGGCGTTTCCTCCGTCGCCTCTCATGCCTCACGCCGCTCCGTGCGGCTGCTGGCGGATGGCAAGCCGGCAAGAAGCGCCCTCGCCAGGGCGGACCGCAGCAAGAAGCGTTCTTCCTCTGTACAGTTTATGGCGAACCCCACGGCGTCTGTCGTGTCGCCGCCGGCAAATAATGCGAGGCACAGCCGCGGCGACCAGCCGGCGACTTCGCCGCTGACGCTCGACGCGGTTGGGAATCTGCCGCGGGACCCCAGCTACGCGCAGCGCGAGCGCCTAAAGGAGGCGGCGGTGCAAGCGAAGCCGAAGGAAGCTGTTGCGGTGAATCTGTACACCATCAAAAGCTCGGCCGCGCCGCGGCGCCGTTCTTCCGGCACCCGTGCGAGCAGCGTGCCGTTGCCGCAGACGGAGCATCGCTACCTCGCGCCACCGCTACCTTTTGCGCCACCGCCGCCACTGCGTATTCGCACTGTCGAGGAGGAAGAAGAAGGGGCAGAGGACGAGGCAAAGGAAGCGGCGGAGCAGCAAGACGTGAATGTGCCGCTAAGCAGCATTGCTGACGAGATTAGGGAAAGCCTCCTCGCCACTCTGGCGAAGGAGTCCCAGGAGCGCTCCACCATCGCGGTGGCGGAGGAGTACCGCCGCAACGCCATGAGTAAGCAGCGTGAGATTCGGGAAAGGGAGATGCTTGCGGCGCGAGGAAGTCTCAGCAATGAGTTTGATGTTCGTCTTAGCCCTCGTACTCCTCTTGACGCCTCTGACGGGCAAGTCAGCGCGACATCCGACGATGAGACTCCGGCGGGCCCGCTCGGGAAACACCCTCGTGTGGCGCTGCAATACGACAAGGAAGAACCACTGAAGCTTTCAGTCCCTGTATCGGAGCTCTCAGTACATCCGCCGAGCATGCTAACGGACGGAATGGGCGTACAGAAGCTTGAGGCAACCGAAGTCGTCGCCCCGCGTGTTAACACGGAGGCGGAAGCAAAACTCGCGGAGCTGCAAGAGCGGGCGAGGCGTGAGATGCAGCATCAATTGGAGCGTCTGCACGCTGAGGTAATGCCCCCGACGCAGGTGGCAGCGGCGCTGGATGCGATTGAGATGAGAGAACGAGAAATAATAGAAGGTGTAGAGACTGTGGAGCGCCGCCTCCTGCATACCGCCCGTTCCCAGGATGAGGTGGAGCGAAGTGCGTTGTCGGTGCAGAGACGCTCTGCTGACCGCACGGCGCAGGTGGCGACCGAGTATCTTGCATACATCTCTAAGGAATTTGACGAATTTGCGGCGAGTGAGATGGAGCACCGTGCCTTCATTGAGGAGCTGCAGCGCTCAGGTTGGTCCTCGCTGGTACGGGACTTCCATGCCTCGTTGAAGGGGCTGCTCGAGGTGGAGCTTCTCCGATTGAGCGAGCAGCGCCAAGTGGAGCTCACGCGGGCGTCCCTCACGCTGGCAACTGAAGAGACAACAGCTCGCATGCGGCAGGAGCAAGCCGCATTGAATGCGCTCACGCGCCTTCACATGACGGCGCTGGAGACCATTGCGGACTGCCGTCGCCAGCTTCAGTTGAAGGAGATGCAGCGTGGGGCCTCCCGCATTGTGGCGGAGCAGCAGTTGTACATGCAGCAGTTCTACGGCCTCGCGGCGGCGGAGGATGCCACGCGGTGGAAGGTGCTTGAAGAAGAGCAGCGTGACCGTCACGCGGAGTGGACCGCCTTCGTCACGACAATGCCCACCCTTAGGACCGCAACGGCGGTTCCAAGTGCCGGCGCGTCTCGAACCGCGCTGCAAGCGTCAAGCTCTTCGCACGCCCCTGAGTCCTCTCACTCCGCAACGACGCCGCCAACCTCGGTTGCATCGCATTACCTTGCGGCGTTGTTTGAGGAGGCGGAATTAGAGGCATTGCGGTTGCAGCAGACGGAGCGGCACGAGCGCCATGGGCTGATAAATGTTTTCTTGACCCAGTCTCAGCGCCTGAGGGCCTACGAGGCGCCGATGGAGACGACGTACATGGACACTCCCCTCTCACAGCGCGCCATCGCGAACGGCCGGCGCCGGCTGGAGCTTCGAGAGGAGGAGAAGCGGATAGAGCTGCAGCAGCGATCGTGGGCTTCATTTCGCTCCATCGCCAACAAGGCGACGGAGGAGCAGGAACAAATTGCAAGAATGGAACGGATGCTGCGCGCCATCGCAGAACGGTCACGGAGCGTCTTGCATCGCTGCTTCGCGGAGGCCGAGCTGGCGCTGATGGATGAGGAGCGGCACGAGCGGCAGAGCGTCGAGGTCGAGGAGCGTCGGACACGCGTGAACCACGCCCGTGACGCGGTGCGGCGCGAAGAGGTGCTTCTTGCGGAGGAGCGCCTCTCGCACGATGCCTTTGGGACGCAGTTTTTGGAAGCGATGGATGTCGCGGTACGGCAGTTCTCCTCCGAGGCCGCCCGCATCGCCCAGGAGGAGCACCTAGAGCGTCTTGCGCTTGCGCAGGTGGAACGGCTTGAGTGCCTGTCACTTACGCAGACGCTCGAGTCGCGGATACGCCTCGACGAATGCGACGCGCAGCTACACCTCGCCGACCTTCACTCTACACTAGAAACAACAACGGCGGCAAGTGCCTGGCGTGCCCGTCTTTCGCTCGTGGAAACGGAGGAGTTGCGCGTTCGGGACGGCATGTACAACGATGAAGCGGGCGAATGGTTGTGGTGGGTGACGGATGAGCGCCGCCAGCGGATAGAACTTGCATCCCTAGAGACGGAACGGCTCAGACAAGCGAGGGAGAAAGAGCGGCTTCTAGCAAAGCTGAGGGAGTGCGAGGGCAGTGAAGGGCAACGACGCGTTGGGGTGGAAAGGGAAGAGGCGCGTGCACGGGCTGCTCTCGTGGGGGATGAGGCGCGCGATGCGGCGAATGCGTGCAAGAAGGGGGAGCAGCGGGTCATAGAGGAGGCGCGGCGTGAGCGGCACGCCAGTCAATCACAACGTCGTAGACGCGCCCTAGAGGATTTGTTACAAGATGAAGACGATGAACGGCATTACATTTGCGAGGACGAGCGGGACGCACGTCGACGGTTACGGCATCAGGCTCTTCAGCACTCGTGCGATATTCTGGACAAGAAGAGGACGAGCCCCGCCAAATCAGAGGAGCCTTCTAAGAGCGGGACAACGCTGGCATCTCAGAACGCCGGACGCAGCCCAGTAAGTGACCCTTCAGCCGCCGTCTTTGATGAAGAGTGGATCCGGCAGAAAAGACTAAGGGAGCTTGCAAGGGAGGAGGAGTTAATTGAGGCGCAGATGCGTCTACGCGAGGCGGAGATTCGTATTGCGGAAGAAGCCGAACGTCGTGCCAGGTCGGAGGAGGAAAAACGCGTGGCGCTGGCGGAGTCGGAGCGACTGCTGCGTGAGGCAGAGGGGCGGGCGGAAGAACGCATCCGCAGGGCACGCGAGGAGGCGCAGCGGTACGCCGAACAGGAAATGAACCGGGTACGTGATGCGAGCGAGCGGCAGGCAGCGCATGCGGCGGCACTGCGTGCGATTGAAGAGGAAGAGAAAACTGCCATGGTAGAAGCGCAACTGCGAGCGGCCGAAAGGGCACTGAAGGAAGCTGAGGGACGCGCTGCAGAGGACGTCCGCCGCGTCAAGGCGGAGGCTGAGGCATTTGCGGCTGCCGAGGCGCAGCGTGTCGCCCTTGAGTCAAGGCGGCTGCTGCAGGAACATCGCGAAAAACAGGAAGAGCAGCTGCGGCAGAAGGACTTTGAGGTTCAGCAGCGACTGCGGGGCATTGAACTGCAGGCGCAGGAAGCCATTTTGGCGGCAAAGGCAGAGTCAACTCGTGCGGCGGAAGAGGCGCAACGGCGGCTGGAGGAATTGGAGGCCCGTTACCAGGGGCGGGCGGCGGCTGTTGACGCTGCCAAGGCGAGTGTGCGTGTGGCTCAGCAGCGCATGCGCGAGTTGGAGGAATCTCGGCAGTCGACGCCACAGCACCCCTCCATGGCGGGGTGTGTGGAAACGACGACTCGCAACGGAGAAGCGGTGGCGGCAGCGGCAGTGCAAGGATATCAAGGGCAGCCGAAGGACGGCTACGCCCTCACTGCGGTGGTGTGTACCAACGTCATTCGAGCTGCCATACGTGAGGCGGTGGAAGAGGTCGTGAAGGCGACTAAGGAGGCGTGGCATGTGACTGAAGAGGCAGAGCAGCGACTCCGCATGGAGCGACGACGCCTGCGGAGAAGAGAAGCAGAGCGCGATCGCGCGGAGCAGGAGTTGCTTGACGCCGAAAACAAAGGCATTCGCTGGGGCGAGGAGGAAGAAGAGGAGACGGCCAAAAATTGGGTTGGTGCCGGCGCCGAAGAGGAGATGTTTAACACCCCGTTAGAGCAGTCCACCACACGCCATTTCCAGGGGAAGCGAATAGACAAACGGCCTATTTACCCGCAACCTCCGCCCGATGGCGGCTGTGCTGTCTGCCACCGCAAGGACACCGTGAGCCCTTGTGTGGAATGTGGGTCCCAGGTGTGCCGTTACTGCGGCCCCGCTGCCCCCCACCGTGCGTGTTGTGAGCAGCAATACATTGACGTTGTGAACGTCCACCGCCGTCGCCTGTCAGGGGAGCGGCAGGAAGCGGGGCACGCGAAACAGGATGCGGAAGAAATCAAAGGGGAGGAATCATCACTATGGGAGGTGGAAGACATTGTGGATGCTTTGCCTGAGCGGACTGACGTGGCCACGTCACCGCTTGGCGTGCGTCGACAGCTGTTGCCTGACGAGGAAAGCGAGGCGAGGACCGATGACTACGATGAGCCGCGGGACGAGGAGGATGCGACGAATGAAACAAGACGGAGCGCATCCACTGAGGCCGTGGATGAACCCAGGACAGAGCGAAAGCGGTATGAAGCCTTTTTTGTGCCGCTAACCTCTGACGCGGAGCCGAGGCGACCGAAGCCGCCGACGCCAAGAAACTACGTCCCGGGCGTATTCACCGCGGCGTCGAGGTTCGCAAAGGCGGAGCGGAGGTGCAGTCCACCTGTGGGCCGGGCACGCAGCAACCGACACGTGGACCCTGCCGCTGAAAAGGAGGCGCGGCAGCGGCAACCGCGCTTCCCTGGGAGTGCCCCGAAGGAGCGTCCGGCGTTCCACGCCAACCAAAAAAATCACCGTCAGCCGTGTCCCCGCCAGCCCCTCACTGCGCTGCAGCGCGAGGTGAAGGAGCCACTGCTTGGCCTCCTCGACCCGCGACTGCGCCGGCGGGAGGCGGAGCGGGTGGTCATGCAGGATCCACTTTCTGGTTTTGGGCGATCATCCTCTCCTGGTCACCTAGGAGGCAACTTTCCAGCCAAACCGGCACGCCCATCGCAATGCACGGCGGGGCGCATTTCTCCCATAAAACCCTCCATCGAGCTCTATGCGGACTTTAACGAATTTGCCCACCGCGACCCCACTGGCCTGGAGCGCACTTACTACGCTGGAAGGCCTGTGCGACCTCTTGAACAGGAGCACGACCCAGAGGACCTGGCAGACACGAGCCACCGCTACGGTGCACGAAGGCAGCATCAGGAGCAGTATAGGCCGAGGAAATTGCCGTCCAGAGAGGATGAGCGGCACGTAAACGTGAGTCGGGAGCGTGTGTTTCTCACGACTTACCATGAATTGCCTGACTACGCGGGGACCCGGCGGCGTCAGGAGTCGGTGCGGTATGACGCACAGCGGCGTGAAGAGTGCAATGTCCACACCACGCCAACGCTGCATCAGTTAGACCAGCGTCTGCGGCATCTGCAGCAACACCGCGTTCTTAGTCGTTCGTACGAACGCTCCCCTGACAGCCATTGTTTGCGCCACCACTTCCATCAGGAGAGCGCGATGAACTGCAGGCCCGCTGCGGCCTCTAGCACGGCACGACGGCCTACGCCGTGCCCCCATGATCCCTGTATCACAGTTCACCTCTTTCCGACTACCTATGCGCCCACAGCTGCGAGAACCACAGCGTCAAGGCAGCGGACACGCGGAGGAAGCAGCCGGCGAAACACCAGCCGTGCTGGTAGGCGCTCAACGCCCCGGGTCGTTTCCCCGCCATGGCGAACCGATTTTAACTCTGAATTTGTGCGTCCGCCGTGGAATTTTGAGCAGCCGCACTCATTTGTAGCAAGGTCGTACAAGCGAACTTTGTTGCCGTTCGAAATATAAGCAAGCGAGATTGGTCGGGCGTCCAACCTTCCCTCTTACCTCACCTCACCTCACCTCAGTCCCTGTTTGTCAGTGTGCATTTGTATATATATATATATGTATATGTATGTATGCATGTATGTGTGTGTGTGTGACAGGATGAATGCTGAAGGAAACCGTCGTTGGTTTTTGCTTTGCACCTCTGTTTCGTTCGGTGGCTCCTGCTCTCTCCGCCGTGGACTGCGTGTGCCTTTTCGCCTCCTCGTGAAGGATGTGGGTGGAGTTTGGGGAGAGGGGCGCCATTGGATTCGGGAGAGGGATAAATATGATTGAGAAGAAAAGAAAAAGGGCGTCGGTGCTCGCGGGGAGGTCTGGCGCTGGTGCATGGGGAACAACAGAGAGATATACAGATGCGTGGAAATACTTTCATTTCCATCCTCGCCGTCCCCTTTCACTACTCTCTCCTGCCTTGCTTGACATCACTAGAAATACGCACGACGACTGCACGGTGGCTCCGCCCACGGCGCTCACCCCCACCCTCATCCCCGGTTGCTCCTTCTGGACAACTCCGGGGTCGCCACAACACGGCGGCTGCTGCGGCTGCTGTTGTACGGGTTGCTGTGACGCACTGCATACATTCCCTGCCATGCGCTGCACTGCACTCAACGCTAGACAAAACGAGGGCGGGGGTGGGGAGAGCGACGAAGCGAAGAAGAACGGGGAGCAACTCCTTTTCGGAGGAAGACTCATGCCTCTTTGGAGCGTGCGCGTTGCGACGACTGCCTACAGAAGTGCATGCACGCACGCATATTTTTTTAAACTCTACATATGCATTTGTTTTACGGTAGAGAGGATCTG